CATAAGTTCCGGGCATATAAAGTAAGCAAACAGTGTCCTAATACAGTACATTTTTAAATCTTTCCCAACCCTAAATTATAAAGTTATCAGCCAAGTATGAAATAAGAATACATCAGAGCAGGGAGAGGTTTTTACGTGAATATATTATTTAGTCCAAAGTTTATTCCTCTAGCAGTCAGGTTACAAAAAAAGAAAGATCTAGGAAACGTATGACTGAGGCAGAGGAAGGGACTTCATCAAAAAATGGCAAATACCCTAAAGAACTGGCACATTACACAACCACTACTTGGAAATCAGTTCAGTGCAGACAGGGCACCACAGCCCGAGGTAAGGAAGGTGGGAAAAGGCACTTGGAAGGATAAAAGTAACAACGACTGGTGGCCGTGGAACTTTCTCAGCCACGAATCAAGGTTTCAGTTTTAACATACTTGCTGCTGTTCAAACTACAGGACTTTCTTTACTCAAGCTCTGCTGGGACGGCTTCTTTAGCCACTAACACTCTTTGCAGATCATGCAGCATCAGTATAGCTTCCCAGGTGATGTGCCAAATGGTATAGTGTGTACTTGTCTGCAGTTAATTTCAAGCAAACTGCAATAAAGACTTTATGATTTAGGCTTGGGAAAGATTTAAAAAGGTACTGTATTAGGACACTTTGAACTTACTTTATACCTGAATTTATACCTAGGCCAAGTGCTGGGGATATAAGAGTGAATTAACTCTGAAAGGTTCAGATTCTACCTTGTGTATGCTCAGGGACCCAGTTTAGTCTTAAATTTCCACTCCAAATTGAACTAAAGTCTCTGGTCAACTCTCATGGCAATCGAGACTTCAAAGCAGCACTGCCCAGTAGAAATTTCTACATTGACAGAACCTGCTATGTCTGCTCTGTCCAATTTGTATGTGTGGCTTATGGCTACCATATTGAACAGTGCTGTTCCAGAGAAACAGCTCTGGCAAAATTCACTGACATTTTCATCATCTCCTTGAGCAAACAATTTCAGTCTTCATCTGACTATGATTTTCTGCAGTATTCGACTCTACTGACCATTTTATCCTTAAAAATCTCTGTTGTCTGGATTTCCATGATGCCATGGCTCTCTTCCCACCTTCCTTTCTTTCTCATTCTTCCTCTTGGGTCTCCCTCCTCTGCCTGCTCCTAATATTAGGATTTTCTAAGGCTCAATCCTTCATCCTTTTCTCTTTCCTACGAACTCTCCCTATGTAATGTCATCCATGTCCAATACTTATTGAGTGCTCACTAAGTGGGCACCATTCTAAGCATTTTATACGCATCATCTGACTTAATTATCACTACTCGCATAAAATGTAGATACCATTATTATCTCCATTTTATAGGTGAGAGAACTGAAGTTTAGAGAACCTAAGTAACTTGGCCAAGGTCACAGCTAATCATGGTGAAGCTCAGATTCAAACAGATAACTGACACACCATCAAGCTGATGACCCTTGATTTCTGTATCTCCAGAGACCACATTTCTCACTGTATGTTTCCACCTGGATGTCTTAAAGGCATTTCAAATATAATGTGTTAAGAAGTATAAACTCTTTAAAAAAAATTTTTTTTAAAGTGTTTTTTAAGAGGTGTTATTTTTTTTTTATTAAGTTTATTGGGGTAACACTGAAGAAGTATAAACTCTTTATCCTCCTATTTATACTTGTTTCTCTTACACCTGGTTCTGTTCTTGTAAGTACCATCCACCAATCTAACCAATCTAACCAGGGGAGGTCATCCTAGCCTTCCCCTGTCCTTCACTCTGAATCTAATTGATGCCTCTAGAATTCATTAGCTCTTCTCCATCCCCTGTGTCAATGCCTTGATACAGGCCTTTTCATACCTTACTTGGACTTCTGCAACAGTCTCCTAACTCGTCTTTCAGCTTATGGTTCCTGCCCCCATCTGGTCCATTCAACATATTTCCAGTGACTGTTCTAAAACGAAAATCTGTCCATAAAATGAAAGATTGTCTAAGCCACTTCCATCAGCTTCCCACACAAAGCCTTTCAAGATATTATCCCTGACTCATTTCTTTATGTTCTCTACACTGCACTCTTTGTGCCAGCCATATCAAATAATCAATGTTCCGTCACTAGGTCATGGTTACATCATAAGGTCCTGTACATGCTATTCCTTTTATCGAAAATGCTCTTAGCTTCCTTTTCTTCCTACAAAATTCTTATTCATTTTCTAAGACTTAGCTAAACTTGCCCTTCCTCACCTTTCCAGGTAGAGCCCACCCTTCCTTCTTTGGTGTCTTCAGTGCTTCCCACTCAAACCTCTATTATAACCATTATCACACCACTCAGCATCCATTTATGTATCTATATTACCCACCTACCTATTGGGAACCCCTTGAAAGCAGAGACTGGTCCTTAATCGACCTTGAGTTCTTGGTACTTACTCTGTGCCTAGCACCCAGTAGGTGCACTGAACTGCAAACAGAGTGATGTTTTTGGCTATCCAGACCCTGAAGCAGAGATCTTGCCTACCACAATTCCACTACTGATGATATCACTGTGTTCAGTCCTGGGAAGGGATTCTGTAGACCAAGAAAATCAGTCCACCTCTGAACCATTCTTGGTCTTCCTTCATAGACAATTTTTACTAGAGGCAGTTCCAGTAACAGATGAAAATGAATGTGACACCATGCCCCACCTGATAGTGATGATCTTCCCAATGCCCAACTCCAGGCCATTCAACTGTGCAATAAACACAGCCGCCACCGCTTCGTAGAGTGCAGTTCCATCCATGTTGATTGTAGCACCCACGGGTAACACAAACCTAGTGATCCTTTTGTCTACTTGGTTCTTTTCTTCTGCACAGCGGAAAGTGACAGGCAGCGTTGCTGAACTGTGTGATAAAAAGAGAAAGGAACTTATGGCCTAGGAATGCTGGTCCTCAATCCCTGCCTGAAGAGACACCTCTATTCCAAAAACTAAAACAAGAGCCCAAAGCATGCTGACACTTTTGGAAGGTCTAAGAGTCAGAGGGTGCTGTGCTTTTCACTCACTGCTGCAAGTCACACCATAACCCCTTCCTGGGCTGCAGGCCATGCCAAGAGGGCAGGGAATATCGAATAGGGTGAAGAAGCATGTTCAAGGAAATAGGCAGAGAATATGGAAATCATTTCTTGAATTAAAGGCAGCTACAAAAACCACAAGCTGCAGCCAGTGCTTCATCAAGTGAGGTGAGAGTTGATAAAGCTTGGCTCAGAGACTTCTTCTAGACACCACTCCTCTATTTACCTGGAAGAGATCATGAGAGCCGTCAGGAGAGCCTGGGCCATTCCCATGGCAAATCGGAAAGGGTTCTTGCGAACGACTATGAAATATATCAGTGGGAGAATTATAATGGAGTGGATTGCAAGCCTGTAAACAAGAGAGAGAAACGGGTTCATAGATAATATCACCTCTTCACATTAATCCTTTTTTCGAATAGCTTTTTTATTCATAAGTCATTCAACTTGCATACTGACTCGATGAGAAAATGAGAAGTTGAGCACGAATGTATGTCTCCATTCCACATAGGAGAATAAGGGGACTCACTCAGCAAATGAAGTATCTTGTCAAAGTTAGTGGCAAAGCCAGCAGCAGAATCCACATTTCAGAGCTCACAGAACAGTTATATCATGCTGCCAAGCCCTTACACGCTATTCCTGTTATATGCATTAAAATGCTTTCCCTTCTTTCTGCTGCTGAATTCTTATGCCTCCTCTAAGATGCAGTGAAACTTCCCCGACCTCCAGGAAGCTTTCCCTTACCTTCCCCGGTCAAGCTGACCTTTCTCTTCCCTATTCGGTGACTGTGGCCCCATCAAACCTCTCTTTTAGCCCTTATCACAGCTCTCAGGCCCTCTGCTCCCCGAACCCACGGTCTTGCTGAATGACACCCACAGCCTAAGAGGGGAGTCGGGATTGCAGTGAGTAGGAGGATGTCCTCACTCTTCCACAGTCACACTTCAGGACTGACCCTCTTTTCTTTGTTATTCTTGCCTCCCAAAGCTATTCTTTGTTCCACATGGAGATATATAGGTTACACAAAACAGAGGCTTAAGAAATGAGACAGATTCAGCAGATGCCATGTAAGTGGCAGCTTAAGAGTTCACAGATCAGTTATGTAGAGCTGAAATAATAAGAAATGGCCACTGAAAACAGAGATCCAGGGGGCTTGGAAAGAGGGTTTTCCAGATAGAGAGGTTGTGTCTAAGAACTGAGGAACTGACTTTTAGTTTGCTTTTAGAAACCTAGATAGGGTGAGAGAACAGAGACCAGCAGAATCGCATTATGAACTGGCTCAGTGTAATATAAACCTCAGCCATGTCACTGCCTGGACACAGCCCCTGCCCTCTAGTGAGATAGACAGTCCCGCCTTTCTCACTATTGGGGCCCTGGAATTTTGCTGGGCCTCACACTGTATGAAGCCAGCATCTTCTCCGTTGGCCATCGGGCTGTGCTTTTGGTAAACATAGACTAAGAACCAAATGCTGTGCAGTAAAAACTCCACAGTGCAATCGAGTTGAAATAGGTGAGCTGATCACTTAAGTTGGGTGTTTGGGGGCATTGACCTGTGGGAGTCAAACTGATGATGTTTACTCATTCTCTCGGTCCATATTTTTCAGCACATGTGATGTTTTTTGCCACCAGATAGCTAGCTGGGGGCACCTTTTATGACTTATTCCACTGCATCTCCCTTCAAGGAACCAATAACTAGGTTGTAATAAATATGCAAATAACCTGTATCCTGCTGCTTTCCTGCTTTATATAATTCCTACTAGCCTGAAGACTTTCCCAGCACCCTCTCTGGCCCTCTGGTAATTCAGGGGGTAACGGTGATTACCAGCCCCACCAAAAGAGTTGGAATAAACCAGCCATCCTGTTCCTACTTGCTCTAGCCTGATTTCATTTAGGGTCTGCCTAATTTCTTTCAGGCTCAAGGTACATGGGGATTATTCCTACTTGTTTAGTTAGTTTATATCCTCGAGGAAGTAAAGGCCAGGAAAGAGCCAAGAGAGGATACCAGTGGGTTTTGCTCTTATTTTAAAAAATTGTTTGAACGCAGCTAATAAAGGCAGTAACAGAGCCTGGTCCAGGCTGTTCTGCCAAGATCTGGCAATTAGCACAATGTGATCCACCTCCAGTACGGCTGTTAAAGGGCAGCCCTCCTCCCCCTCCCCACATCCCGCTCTTGCTGATGAACCCCATCTCTCCCTGCGCATGGGAGAGAAGCCAGTTTTAACCAACTGAAACCCAGCCTCTTGGCAGCAATCTATTGGCTCAAACGAGGTCTCTGTTTCTTGAGCCTGACATACCCAGTCAGGACAGTGGCCATGTAAAGGCCCAGCTTGCGGAATATGTCCCAGTCTTCAACTTCTATGATCTTCCCGGCAATCAGGAACAAAATACCAAATGGCATGTAACTAGAAAGTAAGCACAACAGTGTCAGCAACTATTTTCTCAGAGTGGGATTGTTGGGGAAGAAACAAGACAGGACATGTACTTCGGCTTGGCATACACTCTGAGCTGGGAGGAGCACAGGGTATACAATGAAGCTAAGGTCTCAGTTTCAGGACCTGTTGGACCACACTAGTGCCTGGTTTTAACACCTGTGTGCACCTTAAATTCTATCCACCTAAGCTACCATATAGGACAAACTTTGCAAGAAGGTGTGGTTAAACTGGTGCATATACCACCTTTTGCTCCCAGTATACAAACATTCTGCTGATTGTTGTACCTGAGATCTCGCTTTAGCTTGACCCTCCAAATATGGTCACTAGGCTCTTTGTAGCCATGGTCACTTTGTTTTCCAGGTAGTAGTATCAGCAACAGAGTTAGTAGTGGAAATGGTCACAACAGCTGTTTGTGGAACTCTCATTACATGCTTTGCATTGGGTTAAGTGTTTTGCGTGCATCAATTCACCTAGTTTACTTCTCCCAACTCTAAGATAGATGGGATTATCATTTTTATAGATGATGAAGCTGAGGTTCAGTGGGATTAAGGGACTGAAATAACTAAAACCTTTATGTCACTGTTAATGTCTACACTTTGGAGTAAATAATGTTAAACCAACTCAATATGAGATAAGTGGGGCAGAGGTCTCCTAGGAAAGGCAGGCTTTTTATATCTCCAGGGACAGGGCAGATTCTCAAATGCCACTGGCACGCCCAACCAATGGCAGCTTTCATTTGGATGGGTTGGTATCCATGCTAGCAGGTTAAGTGTTTTGAATATCATTCCTGCCTGGGCCCTAACAACAACAAAAAAACATAACACTTTGTATCCTGATGTGCAGGGAACACCTGCAAATCCCTCCTTCAAGAGTTACTTCTTGTATGAATGCTGGATGGGTGCAAGGTGATCAAGGGCTTTGGTAGAAAAGACAGAGGCTGGTATCTAGACTTTTGTTAGTGACGGAAGTAATATGTGGAATGATTTCCTATTCTAGTGTCTTGATATTCAATGGTCACCCTCTCTAGGGCGAGTCAGTTGAGAAACATGACTCTTGGTTCTTATTTTGAGGGGACAGTCGTCAGGGGAAGCAAGGTGGCATTCATAAGCATCTGCTCACCACATAATGATCTGAACGATTTTCATGGTCGCGTCGCTCAAAGCATTGAAGAAATCCACCAGAATCTGTCCCTTTTCTCCCATTTTTCCAATGACAAGTCCAAAGATAAGGCAAAAGACAATCAAGCCGAGGACATTTATGCCATCTGAATACGTGCCTACGATTTTGTATTCCTTTGTTTCATTCTATAGATCAAAACCAAGAAAATACATTGATGCATGGTTATAATCTTGTTAGAATGCACAGTCACTGAAATGAGAATACAATAGCCAAACATAAAACTAGTGATCTACCAGTCAACAATACTTTGGGAAATATAACTAAAGACAAACAAACAAACAAACAAAAAACACCTCAGCCTACACGTCAAATTTTTACCGCCCCCATCCATTGCCACTGAAATTTAAAGGGTTTTTTTCTTCTTTTTCTTTCTCACCAAATCCATATATGAATATTTCTTTTGAAGATTTTGTATTCTGAGATCTTTTAAAAGAACTTTAGAATCAAGGCACTTTTCAGGGTTATTTTAACTACTATCTACATTGGAAGGCTGTGTAAAAAGACAGGAATTAATAATGCAGGAAGCACAAAATATTTACCAGTGTAGACACTATAGGACATTTTACTGTTTTATCCTGATAATGAAACATAAGAACATTCTTTACTGCCTCTAATCTTAAATGACCAATAGGATTTTGGAGATACAAAAGTTAACCAGATTCCTACTACTATGAACCATTTCTGGCTTTATATTGGGTAAGAATAGCATAAGATTTACCGAGAGATTATTTAATTTGAATGGTGCCGCATGAGGTTTACTGAGAGATGTCATAAGAAGATTAACATGACTTGATGAGCCCCTGGGGTACCAGTCATTTCTTAATTATGATCTGATATGATCAAACAAATATTTATCAAGCAGCTAGAGCGTGCCAACTGTGTTGGCTACAGCACAAAGTCTTAAAGTGCAGCTGAGAGACAAAACTAACCATGAGAAACATGAGCCAATAATAGCAAGATGGTATATAATTAACTGCACAGCCAAGCTACAAGTTGCAGATGTCATATGGAGATTGGGGACACAAATGAGGGCTATGAGGTTAAGGAAATCTAGGCCTGAGGAGTAGGCAGCCAGATGCAAATATACTCCTGAAAAATGGTGAGCAAAGGCAAAAGTCATCAGGACTGCGCCTCTGTACCCTGCTTGGATAATTCCTACCCATCATTTATGGCTCCCAAACTAATTTAAACTTCCTGTTGAATGCCCCAGAGTACCCCATTCTTCCCTATTGTAATATTCATCACTTCACATGAGGGCAGATGCCATATTTGTCTTTTCATTATTGTAATCCCAATGCTCAGTGTGGCCTGGCTCTTGGAGAGTGCTCAGAATATCTTTGTGGAATCACATCGGAAGGCAGGAATAAGGAGTCACTGAGGAGGCGGGTCTGGAAAGAACAGAGGAGGTCCACTGAGAAGCAAGCCTGGAAGGAGCCAGGTCATGGGAGGCCACTGAACCTGTCAGAGGAGTTAAGGCTTTCTGCAGGAAGAAGCAGGGAGCCACTCCTGGCCTATTTAATTTGAATTCTTAAGTCTACTGAATATTTCTTTTTCCCTTAAATCTTTCCTTTCTGTGTGAAGTCAGAGAACATTCAGGAGAAATCTACTACAGGACTACAAATGCACTACGTCAGGCTTATCCATTTTAGTCTTCAATGCTGAAATTCCAAAAGCTCTCAAAGCCCATTGATTTTATCAGTGAGTTTATGGCAAACTCTTGGTGGCAAAACCTATCCTGAACTAAGACGAGACAACTTATCATCTGTTTCTTACTTGACAGAACATTCATAGTTTGTTGCATTAATACTGATGAGCTTGATCTTTGAGTGCTGTCACCAACCCACTTGAGGATGAAGCATAATGTACACACACGTCCTGACCCATCTAAAGTGAAAACTCTGGACTCCGAATCACATCTGGGCAGAGATTTTCAAATAAGAAATTGTGGTTCTGCATTCTGTGTTTGTGCAATCTTGCAAATTTAAAGCAGTTCCTGGAGGTGCTCAACTCAACTCTAAGGGGTGGCAGAGACATAGAGGCAACAGGGTTCATTCTTTCCTGTATGTGGTTCAGTTACTTCTCATTACCTGGTAGTTATGTTCTATAAAGGGGTCACCAGACCTAAATTAGCGAATATTGAATTATTGTTTCTAGGGGAAATGTATGATTAAGTACCTGGGAACCGATGTTCACATTTTCATCAAATAATCCATATGTAACCTTGCTTTATGCATATTTCTGTTGAAAGACACCTTATTTAATATAGACTGTTGAACTGTTAACATTGAACTCACAACCAACACACTATAACTCATGACTGAATGAAGCTTATCTAGCAAACATATATTCTCTGTGAGACACACTGCAACCTTCTTAGGAACCATAGACAGCACATCAGTACTATGGTTGGGGGACATTTTAAACAGTGAAATCACCTCAAAAAAGCTCAAAAAATGTAAAAAAAGTGACACAAACACACCACAAAAAGGATGCTTGTTTATAGTAAGCAAGCTGAAACAAGAAGGCAGAGCATAGCCTTGTTCAGCCTCAGCTAGGAACATGTGCATTGGGTGACTTAAATTTTTCATCACTCTTTGCATGTCTATGAATGATGCCAGAGAGCCTTGAGTGTTGATTATGAGAATGCAAATGCTTTTTGGTAAGCAGGTGAATTCACAAATGTGGAATGCACAAATAATGAGGACTGACTGTATTTCTATCTCCTGGCTCACTCACAACTCAGCCCCTGCCTACTGGGGACGGGTGCGTGGGTGACAAGGAAGGAAACGGTACCTTGGAAATAGCAGTTGTCATGATAACTGTGACAGATGCTTCTGTCCCATTCGTCCCTGGCTCACTAGAAGAGTTCACTTCTTCACGCGTGGTTTTATACTGCACGTTGAGGAAAAAAAGGACAAAGAAACAAATGAAAGAGGAGTTTTTTAAGCACCTGAGGCTAAACCACAGGAATATGTTTTTTTTTCAGCTAAACAATGCCATTGAAGGGTTCTACCTCCAACATCTCTGTTGGTTCTAGGTTTTGACAGTATGTCCTATGAGGCTTTGGAGCCAAAAGTGGAATTGAGAAATCCAAACCCCTGACTTCTACAGCCATTGAATGATGTCAAAATGTTCTCTCACTTTCATAATAAAGGACAAATTAATGGAACATAATGTGAAAGGAAGTATAAGTTTTATTTGTGGGTGCTTTAACAGATAGACTTTATAGGGATCCTGTCAATCACTTTTGTTTCTATTTATTTATTCATTTATTATTTTTAATCTGGAAGAAACACCTCAACATTTTGATAAATGCAAGCACTATGACTTTAACAAACCAAAAACTATACAGTTATTCCAAAATCAACAGTCCCTTGAAGGCTATTCCATGAGATTTCTGTTGAATTCTTTCCTTTAGCTGTGCCTGGTTCTGCAGAGCTTCAGCAGAGAGGTTTAAGAAAGAGCTAGTTTACCATCACACCAGGCATAAATGTCACTCCTACGAAGCTCTGCCAACACCAAGAACCTTACAAATGACCACTGTGGCTAAACTGCAAAGGCACCCCTGAAATAGAGGTGGTTCTGTGCTGCTCAGAGGTCGGCAGGGAGCAATTTAATTGCCATTTTTGTTGGTATACACAGCGGTCTCTGTTCATGTAATTAATGTAAATGAATTCAGCAGTTTGTGATAGACTTAGCTGTCTAAGTGCATAGATAAATAAGAGAAACAGGCTCGAAGGAAATGGAATGAAGAGATTGTTAAACTTTCCTAGAGGAAAAAATCATGGCTTTGTTACACTGCTCTGTAGCGTGCCAGAAATGGGGACAGAATGATTAAGGAAAAGACCAAACACCAGGAACACTAACCACCCATATGAGTTAGACACTAATATCCCACAAGAGAGGGAAAGGAAAGAAGAGGAGGAGGGCTACTTTTTTCACTCATGGCATGTGCAGGCAGTCTAAGTTTCTTCACAAAGAAAATGTAGTTCTCCAAAAATTGGTAGTAGGAGCCACATTTTAAAACACTCGTTGTTTGACATGTTCCTAACTTGTTCCATATGAGCCCCTTTGGAGGAAAAAAGGCATTAAAGAAAAAGGGAGCAGACACATTCACTGCGGCCAGAAAGACCAGGGATACAGAACAGAGGAGTCACCTGAAATTCCTCCATTCACAGGTGTATTTGCTGCCATTTTTGATGAGCTAATTCCATTTGTTGGGTCACAGAATGAAAAAAATCTTAATTGGTAATAGGAAGAGGGGAGCAACTTGAGGGCAAAAGTCAACATTATTACCTGTTGAAAACAGGCTTGGATAAGGTTCTCAGGGAACATATTCCTGTTGGAGACATGAAAAGCAGTATTATGTTAAGGCAAAAGTGTTCTATTTTGTTTGTCTTACCCAATATACTGGTGGAAATGAGGGTAATATAGAATTAGTACTCCAGTTTCTCGTCTGGCTTCTCCTTTGCACAATATTTCCTTGTATTAAGATTGATTCTTCTCTGCAAAACCTCGACCAAGTAGAGAAAGCTCTCCTAATCAACATCACTTAACTGATTCACTGAGTAAATGATCCACTTGCTGTCCTTGGTGAAACACTAACTGGCACGGTTAAGAGACTTCTTTAATATTCTGTGCATTTCTATTTTCATCAATGAGAATGTATGTTTACCAAGAGTCCATTGCATTTATGCCAGGTGCAAAAATTATTCAGTAATTACTGAAGTAAAAATCATGTAAATCAATGAAATATGAGTGTGAAAAGGAAGGTGTGGTTTCTATAAAAACTAAGCTGAATGCCCGGAAACTTGATTGAAACAAGTGACTAAAATTTCTATGGTTAAATTAGTTATGGGAAGACAACTGAAATAAAAAGAAAAACAGGAAGGATTTGGCAGTCATCTTCCTTTGCAATTTGCTGTGGGTTTTGTTGCTCCACTTCGTGGAAACTGAATCTGGAAATTGTAGATGACACATTTATAAGGGTGGCATATGCAACAGAAATAATATGAAGTTACAATCCACCAATACACTCAAAGAAAGGGCCTTGAGCCTACATCAAAAAATTGGCAAATAAATGCATTTAAGTTTTAAGTGTAAGCAAAATATGTATTGCATATTTATCACTTTTTATGATTCTCTGCTTTAATTGCTATTTATTAACTGACCAATTTCCAGCCCTGATTGCTTCAAATAAGAGTTTTTCCTGTACAATTAAAAAATTTCTTTCTTCGAGTGTGCTTTAGAACTGACCATCTAACCCAGCCCAGCATCTTAATGCAACAGTATACTTTCTGCATCTCTATCCATCCTAAATCCTGACAGAGGAGCCTGTTATCTCTATTCCATCCTAAAGCCACAATCTGGTAAGCAGGACTGGCTATGTAACCTACAAGGTCCAGGGCAAAATGAAAGTGTACAACTTAAATGTTATTAAAAATTTCAAGACAGCAACAGTAGAGCATTAAACCAAACACGGGGTCCTGTGTGACCACACAGGTTATGTACCTGGGAAGCCACCCTACTGGCAAGATACTCACCTGATCAGGTCTAACATAGCATCCACTGTGCTGACTTCAGGACTGCTGCCTGCTCTGTCAATTTCATCCACATTCTGGGTGGCACCAGGCTTGATGCTTACAACCAGCACGATACCTGTGACCAAGGATAGTACCCATAGAGCATTAAGACCCTTCCAGGGCACCTGGCACCCCTAGAGCATCCTTCTTTGAACCAGTAGGCATGGTGGTACTGGGCAATACTGGAATGGGGGCCCCAAGGTCCAACCAAAATACTGAATCTCAGCTGGGACCTCAGCAGCAGCCTTAATTACTTTTCCACTTAAATGAAGCAGAAGGAACTCATCCCATGCTTTAAAAAAAAACGAAGGGGTTACATTCCAGAATTGCTTCTGAAAATATCTGCTGATGAGAATATTCTTTTTGCTTTTTTTTAGCTTATGAGGTGAGCCTAGGCAAGGGTTGGGGTGAGGGTAATTTATTTTCCAATTCAGGGCACTCATTCAATATCTTTATGCAACTTTTACCCACAGATGCTGTTTATTTTCCCGAGGGTCACACAGAACAAGCTTTATCTTCCTTCCTTACCACAAGCCTTCAAGTACCTGGAAAGCTGTTGTATAACTCAAAACACGTTAGGATTGGGTATAGTGTTGTTCCATGTGACTCTCAGGGTGGAATGAAGAAAAAACAGACAGGAGTTACATGGAGATAGTTCTTCTCACTGAAAAGAAGAACTGCCTAAACAGAGACCATCTGAAAATGCCATTTTGGCCTTTGGAGGTAATGAGTTCCTGTCACTTGAGGTGTCCAAGCAGAGGTAGGAAGCTGTAGGAGACCAAGGTTGTTTGACTGGAGAGTAGTGAAGAAGAAAAAAGTCCCTATGCCCTTATTGCTCTTCCCAAGGAGAAATGCCAATCCAAGGGGGCAGGACTTCAAGGATGCTGAATGGGTCAGTTTTGCTAGTAGGAGTCACTGGGCAATAGAAGGACTATGAGTAGGTGTGGTCCACTCTTCCCTCTTAGGATTGCAGAAAAGATATACACCCAGCTTTTCCCTTTGTGTTGGCCTCCCTCAGGAACCTCATGAGGAGATGTGGCTTTGGTTTAAGGCAGAGTTCAGGCCTTCCTAGGTCCCCCAGCCTAATAACTCTAAAACTTTTCCACCTTTTATCATTGCCTTAAAGCAGAGCTGCAAGGGTCAAGCTGGTTGCGCCTGGGTACCTTCTCTTTTTCTCTCTCCAATCTGGGCATCTCTTTTAAAATATCATGCTAGGTCCCAAAGGATGGACCATACTTTCTTCGCAAAAGAATGCCAAAGGTACAAGAGCAGCTCTAATCCTGTTTAGAACTTCCTTCCTTTTTCAAATGGACTTTATACTTAGGTGTTAGCTCTTGGTACTAGGTGAAAATCGAAATGAACTCAAGCGTTATCTTTCTGGAAATCTTTTATAATTATACCTAACTCCACTATTATTGATTCATCAGTTCAAAGATTTTGTAAGTTCTCAGCTTCACTTCCTTCTATTCAATGATCCTGATAAGAAATAGAACTGTCATCCTCTTTCTGTTTCTTACTAGAAATATTAATAAAAAGTTAATGGCTGAAATTCAGTCAGTATTATATTTTCTCCATATAAAAGGTATTGTGTAGACTTTAAGCCAAAGTCTCATGGTTGTATGACAATACTATTCTATTGAAATATATTAAATATTCTATTAAAATATAATATATATACCCGACACCTTTTAAATGAGAAGTCATAATTATATAGAGGAATAAGAATTCAGAAATAAATTTTACCTAGAATTACAGCAATGAGAGTGGTACAGAAGTAATATACGACAGCACGCAGACCAATTTTTCCAGATACACTGGAATCCAGTGCAGCAACACCTAAAAGGGGTGGGGGAGAAATCAAATTACATTACTTTTTAAAAAACTGATTTCCAGGACTGGTTGTGATTCAATCCTTAAATGTTTGTAAAACGAAGAGCTGAAACTCGTTTCTGGATCTGTCAGGTCTATCTCACACACTTGTTTGAATAAGATGCAAAGGGCAAAAAAAGCACTTCAAAATTCCAAATATAGAATTAAAAGATGGGAGCCTAGTGAGACGCAAGCAAGGTCCCCTTCTGGCAAACCCTCAAAGCCTCCGCCCTTACGAGTGCCCTGCGTTTGGGCTCTTCTGGGGGGTCTTCATGAGACACAGTCGGAAGCAGTCTTCCTTCTACATTTGCTCTAAGAACTTTATAAAGATTTGTGCATTATATCACTCAACAATCGTTTTGGAATTCAGTATCAAGGAAGAGCTTATCCTGAAGAACTGAGATAGTTCTTTCATCACACAGGGAAAATTGCGTAACCCATGATTGTTTCCCCTTCGGCCTTTTCTATCAGGAAGCTCAGAGTCAACTAAAAAGATAACTTTTACATGTGATTATAAAAGTAATATATGTTCATTATAATTATCTGAAAAAAGAAAAAAATATAAAGAAGAAAACAAAAATCATCTCATCATACATCATTAATATTCTGGTGAATTTTCTTCCAATATTTTTTTTCTCAATTTTTTGTTAGTGGAGCTAATTTTATAGTTTTCAATCCTCTCTTATTAATACTGTATTATAAGCATTTCCTCTTATTATTATAAATTCACCCTGAGGATATTATTAAAGGCTACATAATCTCTTGTCATGTGGCTATACCATAATGTTTTTAATCATCTACTTATAGCTGTATCTTTAGATAGTCTCAGGGCCAAATTCAATAACAAATCACAGTAATTTCATTAACCATCTGGCTAGCATATTTCCTTCTTTTCATGATTTTTCAAATTGCTTTTATGTTAACAATTTTATTGTGTATGGCTTTGACTGTGACATATCTTAAAAATTTTATTTTAAAGAGACAGAATATACATAGAAATTTCTGAGGGCAGAGGTGATTTAAGAGATTTACGGCCACACTGTTAGATCTAGTTTCAAATGGTCTTTGATTGCCAATAAAATGACTGAATGTTGCCTGGACTTGCAAGGCTTATCTAGAATAGCAAGGATGGCTGTAGAGGTGGAAGGCATATATCTATCCTTGTTAGAAACCCTTGCCCTCCATCAAACATGCTTGTGCAAATGGAGTCAGTGATGCAGCTCTCTAACTGGACTGCTTCTACTTGGGACATGGGGCAAGCTGAGAAACAACCAACCCATTTTTCAGCAAGCTGTCATTTGGAGGTTTCAGACTACCCTGACCAATTTCCAAAAAGACAATTACATTCTGAATCAAATGATCACCATAGAAAATAATTTTTTGACTCTGTAACATGCCTGAGTTGTCCCATAACTGTTTTGTAAAACTTGAAGTACAGTGTAGCAGGAAAAATGAAGAGATTGTCATGAAGCAATCCCAAGGTAAAGGTAATAAACCTGTAAGCTATCAGCATGCACAAGGAGCTTTTATGTTCACTTCTCACACTATAAAAGGCCTATCTATTTTTTTTAAGTGACTAGAGGATTATGCTCCTCACATATAAACAAACAGATCTGATGCACAGGAAAAATCTACAAGGAAGCTATCATCATTATGATGACAGAACAAGTTATCTTTCGCTCTAAATGCATCATTTCTCTGGCTGTTGATTGCTCCTCTGGAAGTTAATATTTTGAGAGAAAGGGCTCTGGCCTCTTTAGCAGCCATCCCAGGATGTTGTTAAGGGCCCATTCACCAACTTCTGGGATTGTGCCATTACCATAAATACATATGATGGGCATATTGCAACAGTCACATCCTGGAATAACCTTGATGATAAACTCTATTCTCTTTTTTTGGGAAAAATAACACTTTAGTGTGCTAAAACTTTCTTTTCCTAATCGTAAGAATCAAAAATAATAATTCTGCAATAAACAAAAATAAAAACAAAAAAAATCAAGAGACACTGAAGGCCATTATTCAAAAACAATTGGACTATCTCATATTTAGTTTTGGTCTCTTAAAAAAAAGAGCAAACAATAATGCATATTTATAAGTTTGCTAAGTATATCATATGATTATAAAATGTGTCTATTCCATTTTAGAGCTCTGTATATTATCCCAATGAACAATGATAATAATTATTTATAACAATATGCTAGGTTGAAAAAAAAAACACACACGAGAAAATCACCAAATTAACAGAACTATGAGTAACCTGTGATGTATTTCTGGCCTAATAGAGGATACATTTTGAGATATATTAGCCTTAAACTGGCAGATATCCAGTTTAAGCAGCTCCCAGCCCCTAAGGTGTGACAAGTGACAGGCTCACAGGGTGGCTGCAGAACTGTTCTTGGGTATTTTGTATCCTCTCAGGATTTTCTCCCAGCAGTGAAACAAATCTATATGGCTAATTGTTTCCAGCATATGTTAACATGTTCTTAATTTGTCTTAATGATTTGGCCATGGGCTGATGTCTCTGCTTCTATTCCAGGACCCAGCTGCCAATAAAAGGCTTCATAATAAAGAGATTCTTGATGGAAATATCTTACATAAATACATCCCCAAAGCAGTCATCCACCTCCTCCCTGCTGGAGTACAGCTACTTTCCTGTATTATTTTCAGGAAGAGCTTTGTTTCCCATTCTTCAAATCTACCTCAGTCCTACAATTCTGGACATATCAGAAATGTATTCAAATCAATAACTGTACTATTCCACCTCTCTAGAGTTGCCCTTCTCATCTCTAGTCATCATTGATCAAGGGCAGAGCCAGCCCCAAATCCAGGCTCTTGGACAATTTATAATGCAATGTTGAGGACAGGGGTGGTGACCACCATAAAGGGAGGGAGCATATGCAGGGAAACAGCCTAATCTTTGAAAACCTCCACAACAGGAATGTTAATGAACGTAACTTGAATATAAAATACCTGTCTAGATGGTCTAAACACCCCACCTGCCAGTAATAACGATGATGATGACAATTATAATAAAATGATAATAAGGATGACAACACATACTATGTTTTGAGCAATGAGTTCTTGTTGAGTGCATCGTCTCCTTTAATTCTCACTATAGCCTCACGAGGTAGGCATTATTCTTCCCATTTTACAGAGGAGACAGCTATGGCTCAGAAAGGCTAAGCAACATGCCATGGTGTTACAGCTGGTCAATGAAGAAGCCAGGATCCCAACCCAGGTTTGACTCCAAAGGCCCTATTCTTATGTTATCTTCGCTCTATCCACATGCTACGAAGTTCTAGAGTAGTGCTGCCCGATAGAATTTCCTGTGATGATAGAAACATTCTCTATTTGTGCTGTCCACTGCAGTAGCCTCAAGCTACCTGTGGCTAGTGAGTACTTGGAATGTGGCTAGTGTGACTGAGGAATTGAATTTTAATTTTAATTAACCTCAATTTAAATGGCCACATGTAGGTTATGGTTGCCATGTTGTACAGCACAACCTTTAGACCTTCCCCGAGTGTCCAGCATTTAGTGGATGCTCAACAATGTTGAATGAACAAACTTAAGCTTAACTCCATCGCAAAATCCAGTACAGCTTCTTTACCTTGCCAGCACAGGGGCAGGGGAAAGGATGAAGATAAACCATCATCTCCTGGTATGCATTTCCATCACCACACTTACCATACTGCTCTGAGGCCTAAGGCTTATTCTTCTCTAGTCCCCAGGATATTAAATAAGGTGCTCTGTGAATTTTGTACTTGATGCTTTCCATGTGACAGAAAGAGTTACACTTTTTATGGGCAGTCTTCTCCATACAAGGTGAGCCCATTTCAAAGATCCACATGCGTGTGAGAGATTAGGAACTCGGCAATTAAGTCTCCTTAGAAACCACCTGTACAGGCAATTTGGTTCAGTTCCCAGGATGGCCACCCATGACAGACCTCTATGTAAGAATATATTTAGTATCATAGTATATCTTTACCCTTTTTTTCATTATCATCTATTCTATACCGTGCCCCCATCCCCAGCCCTTCAGACATTTTTTTCCTAACACCACCCTCATGAAATTTTAATACCATAGACAAACTTTGTATCTGTTCATGTACTGAATGTATATATGTGTTTTCTATGTAAAAAGAATAAGTTTCTCTCCCTTACTCACTCCAAACCAGCTTTTGCTGCCTTGGGGGCGATATTGCTCTTGCTGAGAACATGTGGTCTAGCTCCATGTATATGTCATGTGAATGAATCTAGATGTTGGACACTGAAGATGGCGCCTCTCCATCAGTTCCTTAGTCACGCTAGCCAGTGTTCCAAGTGCTCACCAGCTACATGTTACTTGTGGCTACTGCAATGGACAGCACAAATACAGAATATTTCTATCATCACAGTAAGTTCTCTTAGGCAGTGCTGGTCTACAATTTACAGCATATGGATAGAGCCAGTATGACACAGTGGTTAAGACTATGGCCCCCATCACTTACTGGGGGAGGTCAGATGACACAGACACCTTAGTCCCAAAGAGGTGAAACATCACTGTGCTTTATCCTGGGGCTTTACTCTCAATAGTCACCTGGCTTCCTTGCTTTCGGGCCATGCTTTGTACCCTACGGAGTCTAGAGGACCACCTCTCTTTACAAGCCATTCTCAGAATTCATTTATTCTAGAACTGGATACCTGCCTTCTGGGAGTTGAAGGAGAGGGACTATGCACTAATATATTACAAAGCAGGTACGACAGGATCTGCATAGAAATCAAAGATGTTTAAAAATGTTTAAAGCAATTGGACAGTAGTTTTATGTCTTTTGAATGTAATAAAAAATAAGGCTAGCATTTTGTATGTCTTTGTTTTTTATATTTTTTAGTAATTCAGTTGTTTTATAGTTTACAAAGATTACTGATCTGTGACAGACTGGAAATTTTAAAAACTGCATCTTTTCCAACCAGTCTAAAAACCAGATGCT